AATGAGGATATACAGAGTCAGTACATAAGTCTTGTGTCTGGTTCAGTAGCAGACACAGTGCACCCCAGTTTTTGCTATGGATTTGCAAGTCCTTTTTTGGTACCGTTGCTGCTACTTGTTGGGAAAACCACGTTGGTTTTTGCAAAAAGAAAAACTCTTCATACAAACAACACGAAAGAGATTCAACCTCAATAAGAAATTAACTTTGATGGGAGAGGAACAGGCACAATTCAGAGCTATTACATTAGGAAAAGAATGTGTACATTTGGTAACCGTAGTAAATGCAAGGGGAAAAATAGCAGAGACACAAGGAGAGAAGTTGCAGATTCCATCCAGGAAGCGCACACACACCGCTGAAGCTTCCTTAGCCTGACGAAGGGTTTTTGAACCCGAAAGCTTGCTTAATAACTATTCTCCAACCATTTGGGTTGGTCTAATAAAAGATATCAAATTCACCCAAGGAACCTTGGTTGCAGATAATAAGAACATAAACATAAGAACATGCAAATTACCACTGACCGAGTCAGACCATAGGTCCATATTGCCCAGTGTCCTGTGTCACACAGTGGAAGAGTGTGGATGCTGAAAGGAAGAGTGCACTGGGTATGACTAGGGATGTTTTCCACTGTTCCTCTATCACTTGCACTCTTCAGCATTTAAGGTCTAGGAAGTTCTAATTCAGAGGCTGTATCCCTGATTCTCATGCTCCATAACTTACTGGTGCCCCTTTCCTCCAAGAATTTGCCCTCTTCCTTTCTGAATCCAGCTAAACTGTCAGCTTCCACAACATCTGGTGGCAACGAGTTCCACATTTTAATTATACTTTGTATGAAAAAGAACTTCCTTTTGTTAGTTTTAAACTTACTACCTACTGGTTTCATTTTATGACCCCATCACTTTACATTTATCTACATTGACATGCACCTGCCATTTATTGTTCCAGACCCTTCTGTAGTTTCTCATGGTCTGCCTTGGCCTTTAGCACTTTGAATAATTTTGTGTCATTGACAAATTTGGGCACCTCGCTACTCACCCTCTTTTCCAGATCATTTATGAATACATTTCATAGTTGGTAGGGTCAGAAAGGACATGAGCAGATCATCAAGTCCGACCCCCTGCCATGGCAGGAAAAAGTACTGGGGTCAAATGAATTATCAAGCCTCCTTTTAAAGACCCCTAAGGTAGGAGCCAGCACCACTTCCCTTGGAAGCTGGTTCCAGATCCTAGGCGCCCTGACTGTGAAGTAGGGCCTCCTGATGTCTAGCCTGAACCTACTCTCGGTCAAAGTATGGCCGTTATTCCTAGTTACTCCTGGGAATGCTTTGGGGAACGGGGTCTCTCCTGTTCCCTGCTGGTCCCCCTTGGTAAGTTTATAGATGGCCACTAGATCCCCTCAGCCTTCTCTTGTGGAGGCTGAACAGATTCAGGTCCCGTAGCCTCTCCTCGTAGGGCCTGCCCTGCTTCCCCCTGATCATGCGAGTGGCCCTCCTCTGGACCCCCTCAGTGCTGGCCACATCCTTCCTGAAGTGCGGTGCCCAGAACTGGATGCAGTACTCCAACTGCAGCCTGACCAATGTCGCATAGAGGGGGAGGATCACCTCCTTGGACCTGCTTGTGATGCATCTGTGGATACACGACAAGGCATGGTTAGCCTTCCTGACTGCGTTCTCACGTTGGCGGCCCATGTTCATTTTGGAATAATGACTCCAAGATCCTTTTCTGCCTCTGTGCTGCCAAGAAGGGAGTTCCCCAGCCTGCAGGTATGCTGCTGGTTCTTCCTCCCCAGGTGCAGTACCTTGCACTTGTCAGTATTGAATCCCATCCTATTCTCATCCATCCTCCCCGTGACCTGTCTAGATCTAGTTGTAGCCTGTCCCTCCCTTCTAGCATGCCCGCTTCTCCCCACACCTTAGTGTCATCCATGAATTTGAACAGGGTGCTTTTCACCCCCTTCGTCCAAGTCGCTGATGAAGATGTTGAACAGTGCAGGCCCAAGGACTGAGCCCTGGGGAACCCCACTGCCCACATCCCTCCAGGTCAAAAATGACCCATCCACCATCACTCTCTGGGTGCAGCCCTCCAGCTAACTTGCGGCGCATTTGACTGTGTAGGCATCGACACCACACTCGCCTAATTTTTTAATGAGAATGGGGTGAGAGACAATGTCGAAGGCCTTCCTAAAGTCCAGAAAGACTACGTCTACCATGACACCGGTGTCCAAGGATTTTGTGACCTGGTCATAGAAGGCTACCAGGTTGGTTTGACAGGACCTGCCTCTAATGAACCCATATTGGTTGCCCCTAAGCATGATCTTCCCTGCTGGTCCCTCGCAGATATGCTCCTGGATAATTTTCTCAAAGATCTTCCCCAGGACCAAGGTAAGACTAACAGGCCTATAGTTTCCTGGGTCCTCCTTTCTCCATTCTTTGAAAATGGGGACCACAACGGCCCTTTTCCAGTCCTCTGGCACCTTGCCAGAGCACCACAAATGCTGGTAAAGCTGTACCGGGGTCCCACAATGACCTCTGCCAATTCCCTCAGCACCCTGGGGTGGAGATCATCAGGACCTGCTGATTTGAACATGTCCAGTCCCACCAGGAGTTCCCTAACTCGGTCCTCTCTGACCCTGGGCCCGGCTATGCCTCTCTTGAGCCCGTCCGGAATCCCAGTGGGGGGATGTCCTGGTCCCTGCTCAGAAAAATGGAGGCAAAGAATTTGTTAAAGAGGTCAGCTTTATTGTCTGGTGTGACCACTAGATTTCCAAGCGTGTCCTGCAAGGGCCCCACATTACCCGGTGCCTTCTTTTTACTCCCTATGCATCTAAAAAAGGGACTTCTTGTTATCTTTGATCTGGGTCGCTAGTCCCAGTTCTGTCTCCGTCTTAGCCTTCCTAACAGCCCCCCTACAGTCTCGAGCAATGGAGGTATAAGCCTCCTTGGTGATGGCCCCTCCCTTCCATTGGGTGTATGCCTCCTTTTTAGCTTTAGAACGTTCTTGAATGCCTTTGGTGAGCCATGGGGGCTTTTGAGCACTCTTGCCCCCTTTGGTTCGTGTTGGGACTGACACCCATTGGGCTCAGAGGATTGTCTCCTTAAAGAACGAACACTCTTCTTGGACTCCCAACTCCCCTCCCCTCCGGGACCTCAGTGCCTTGCCAACTAATCTCCTTAACTCAATTAAATCAGCCCTCCGTTAAACAGCATTTGTTCCAACACAGATCCCTGGGGGTCCCTGCTGTTTACTTCTTTCCATCCTGAAAGCTGACCATTTATACTCCCTCTTTGCTTTCTATCTTTGAGGCAATCTCTAATCCACAAGTGGACATCTCCTGTAATCCCATGATTACCTCATTTAGTTAAGAGCTTCTGACAACAGATCTTGTGAAAGGCTTTTTGGAAGCCCAGATAGACTATGTCAACTGGACTGCCCCAGTTCACTTGCTTACTGACACCTTCAAAGAACTCTAGTATAGGGGTAGGCAATCCCCAGCAAGGGTGTCCGAGCGTGGCATGCAAAGACATTTTGCTTGGCACATGAGCCTTGACACAGACAGTGGGGAAAGGGCTGGGGTTGCACTCCTCAGTAAGGCAAACAATTTGAACCTGTTATCACAAGAGAATTTCCCTATTCCAAATCACACAAAATTCTACTCTAACTTTCCAATATCTTTTTCTGAGATGAACGGAACACACCATTGTTTTATAAAATGACAAAATATTTTCTATATTATACTTGACCCCATTTCTTATGTATCCTCACATTAGTTATTTTTAATAAAGTGCTTCTGCTTATTCAACAGAGGGTTTCATCGAGATGTCCACAACTTTCTCCTGAGTTTTATACTTTATTTATATGATTTACACGCTGCCCTTCAAGGCTCAAGGAGGCTTATGGCAAGGGAGACAGAACAGCAATTAAAAGAGTGTCTGGAATAAATAAAACAACAAAATCACAAATTAAAGCAGAGACCCACTGAAAAACATCTCTGCCTAGTTTTGGTTGATAAACACTTGCCCAAACAGAAAAGTCTTGGAACCCCTCATGAAAACTGATTCAGATCATTTAGTTCCTAGTAAAATTAATAAGTAGTCAAAGTTATTATTCTTTCATTTATTAACAGTGAATTTAATCTACCATAGTGTCACCATTTACCTCACTTGATTAGGTCCAGGCTTGACTAACCTAATATTGCATTATCTCATTGCTCACAAACTTCTTCCAGGTCATTAATCATCATCAGCTCTACCACAGAATCTCAAAGCAGCCCACTGTAAATCTTTTTGCCCCTGTAGAAATGTATCATTCATTCC